ACAAAAGATCAATCCACGAGAGTCTGGCTTGATATGATGCTGATCCAAGTATTGAACCAACTCCATGGCCATGGTTTCCCCCTTTTCTTGATATTCTGAAAGGACCACATGATAGCGTAGTTCAGGCCGATTGGTGGCAGCACGAATAAGATGCAAAAAGCGTGGATCTGCACCCATTAGCTGACAAAAGGGACGAAGAGTGTCTGGTGGCATGGTTGCAGTAAGATAAACCTTGGGAAATGTGAACTCTTGAACCACTGTAAGCATTTGCATCTTGGGTCGATAGTTGCCAGAGACCAAAGGTTCATGACTTTCATCAAAGATGAGCCGAGCAATGTTCTCTTGATGTAGTTTGATCCAACTATTTGATTGTTAAGTTAAATCTGAGTCCAAATTATAACAGACATACCCAATAAAGGTACTGGTTGCCAGTGATTCATATGAGGCAAAAAGCAAGCGTAGTTTGGGATTTGTGGGTGGAGCAGCTGAGTTCCACTTGGCTGCCACAATTCTGGATGCAGCACTACGTCGAAGTTGATCATCAATCAATGGTAGAAAGGGAATCATGATGATGGTGATAAGCTTTGGCTCTGCCATCTTGCCAGGCACTTCCCAGGCTAGACTTTTACCGCCACCAGTGGGCAAAACCACCATTAGGTTACAGTCCCGCTTGATGATGTAGAAAAGCATTTGCATTTGTGCCTCTGACTTGAATGTAGCCCTTGAATCCTGACGAGCCCACTTGAGAAGACGTAACATCTGGTCTGGTTGAGGAGTAGCAAGCTTGAGATGTTCTCCAAGATGGGTATAGAAGAGTTTATCATCAAGAAAGTAGTTAGGAGTGTTACTGGCAAGGGTATGAGTGACTGTGGTGGCCATTACTGGCTGAACTTGAGTGGCATATTCAAGGGATGCCTGAGAAAGATTTGCTGGTAGTGGAGATAGAACGGTGGAGATGGCATTGGGAACATGAATGAGCTGTGCAGGATATTGAGGCTGGATAGCTTGTGGGGCATGAGTCTGCAATTGATGATCCAATATGTGATTGTTGTTATTAATAGGAGAAAGCATGGCAAGGCCATTGTTACCTTAAATCGTAAACTATATCAGTAATAGAGTATAATAAGAAAGAAATAACACATACTGGTAGCACCAATTGATCCACTGACATGACTAGCAAATCCTTTAGCAAAGGCATTTGCTAACATGTCTTCAAGCTGATGCTTTAGGTTCCCCATCCCAATGGTAACTGCTCCATTAACCATGCCTTTAATTTCTTCCTTGAAATCACTAGTACGAAAGGTTGTTGGATCCATAGTGGTGGAGGATGTCCTTAATCGATGAAGAAGACGATGAGGAATTGGAGGCAAGTTGGATCCCCATCCAAGTACATCATGCCAGGAGTTGCATATGTCACGGCTTTCTAGCATGGCATCTGTGGTTAGGAAAGGCAAAGATCCAACTTCACGAGCATAGGTGCGGCGTGCTTGATTGGTGCTATGATTGGCAAGAAGATCTCCAAGATTGTTGACAATGGTGTCTTGTTCACCAATGTATTCTCGTTGTATGGAAATAGCCATATGTCGCCAAGTGCGTAGATTAAGAGAAAGACCCATAAAGCGAGCAGTATACTGTTCCATTAGAACAGAGAACTGACGAGAGGTGAGAACATGACCATGCTGACAGAAAAGGAATTCATGATAAAGTGGTGTGGATTCTGAGTCATATACTTGAGCAGCAAGTAATGTCTCCAGTGGTCGAGCAATTAAAAGATACCAATCCAATAACTTGGCAAGGCGAGGAGGACAGAGTGTTGGTACAAACGAAAGATTGCCAGTGATATTGGTGGTTTTGACATGAATGTGAATCAACCATGTGCCGCGGTCCTTGTAGAGGTTACGAGGAATTTGGCCATTACGAATACGAGTTTCAACCAATTCAGTACCCCGAGGAGGAGGTGCTGGAAGCATATGACACAAGATGGCTAGCTCTTCATTGATAACAGTGAATTCGGCTAAAACAGCCATGATTCCACGATGGATCCAATGTAGCTTGCCATTATGTTCCACCTCGCATATCTTGAAGTGAGGATGATCTTGAAGGATTTCTAGCAAAGGAAAAGATTTGGCAAGCAAGTTGGGCAACTCCATCCATCCATAGCCTAGATCACGATTGGTCATGTTCTCAGTTA